GGCATCTCAACTATGGGCACCAGGCTGTGACAGCTTGCAGCTTCACAGCCGGGTGACCACTGCGCATGAGCGAGTCGCGATATGCATCCTGATTTGTCTGGCAGTCTTCTGGGACCTTTGAAGTGTCGCAGAAGACTGTGGGAGGAAGGAGGAGGGCCAAACTATCGGCTCACTTCGTTGTGGTAAACTGAGCCAGAAGGGGGAGTGGGTACCTGTCAAAACCAGGAGGCAAACAAGCAGCATTTCAACTTTTGGTTGGAACTCCGCTTTAAATTTAGTAAAGCGCTTCACTCCTGCTATATACAGCTGATTAGAAAAGTCCCATGGTGCAGTTCATGGATATTTCTATATAATTTTATAGCATTTAATTAAATGCAGAAAATAAATATACATCAAAAAGTACAGAGATGTATGACATATTGGCACAATATATAAAAATCCTTTATAAAATTCTGATCTGTGCTGTGATTTTGTGCTAAAACCATCTCTTTATGTCTGTTTGAGCTGAAGATTAAATTATGGGCATTCCTATGCGGGAGCTACAGTACAGCACTGATGCCGCCACTCCCTTTCAGATTCTCACACAGCCCTGGTTTAGCTGTTTCTAGCCCTGCTAGTGCTGACATGAATCATCTCATTGCTAGAAAATATCAGCACAGATCACAACACATGGACTTACATAAGTAAATGCCAGCTGCAAGTAAACATTCCCCCAGCACGATCACTACACACTGCACCAGCAGTCGGCAGATTGATCACACAAGCCCACCAGTACTGACTGATCACTTACTATTGTAAAGGGGGCCACAGGAATCTGGAGATAGGTAACAATGTGGAGTGCGGATCAGTGCCAGAGGTCCAGGCATGCCAGGAGGTGGTCTGCTGAATTGGAGAGGAAGTCTGTGCACAGCTTAGTGGTATCCTGGCCAGGGAGTCGTGGGGGCTGCTGAGGAGCCAGGGATGTGACCAGCAGGAGCTGGGAGAGATGCTATCAGGAAGAGAGTCATGGGGATTTGCACATTCCCCCACACTTTATCATTGCATTCCTTGCAGTGGATTTACTAAAGGCAAATATAGTGTGCACTTTGCAAATGCAGTTATACTCTGCTAGTGCAGTTGTACTTATTTTTCACGGAGCTTAGATAATGTGGTAAGATTCTGCTCAATTCCATTATCCAATCATGTGCAAGCAAAAATTCTGTTTATTTAATTTCCCTTGTACCTGATATGCTTTTTTTTTTTTTTTGTACTTCTGTTTTTTAAACAATTTGCTTTTATTCAAAAGGAAAAAACAGAACATATGAACAAGAATGACCAACAAGAAAGCATCACATAGCATATTATCATATCATGTAATACACAGTTTACAAATTTGTTTCAGGGCAAACTCAGTACAGTAGTATAATCAAAACATTAGGCAGCATTCACATAGTAAAACGTTCACAATTTTCAGGTATAATCATCAAGTCTGATAGGAAGAAAAGTAAAAACAGAGGAAATTGAAAAGTTAGGAAAAAAAATCAAGAGAATAGTAGAAAAGGACAGAAAAGGAGAAAAGGACAGATCCCTCTCTGCAAGAGATGCCCAGAAATCACCAGCATGACCCACACGTCCAAAAGAGATGCCCATCAGCCCTTTATATCTTCCCGAAAAAGTGAAAGCATACCAATTAGACCACAATTTGTGAAACCTGGGAACCATGTCATCAGTTATAGTCAGTGTCCATTCCAATTCCTGAATAACATTAACCTCTCTTATCCAGTGTTGAATCGAGAGGGTATGAGTGGTCTTCCAATGTCCGGGAATTAAGGACTTGTGAAGCTTTACCACATTTACTAAGCTCTGGGGAAAATGAGTGCAACTGCACAGTGCACAGTCTCGTTGCTTTTAGAAAATCCACCCCTTGTGTTGTAATAGTGTGGAGGAAAGTTTACTAACAGCCAGCATTTACGATTTTAAATCCGTGCTGACTCCTCACCTTGCTGTGCTGAATGGTGGCACTCATACGCCTGTTGCCACAAAAAAGCACCATCAACCTGTGCAAATGAGGTACTCTGGTCAGTTGATGCAGCTGCACACATCAAATTCCTGCTACTTTCTAGTCACATGGGGCTTGCTCTCACACAGGATGTCATTTGGATCAAGTCGCTGCCAAGCTACTAGACTGATGTCATTTTGCATGGAAGTCACTATCTGCCAATCTACTAGGCTAAGGGGAACCGGAGGAGAGGATCATCTAGGCTTAAGAAGTTACATTTTGCCGTCATTCTGATTGATTGGTAAGTTTCTTGTTTTATCGGCGTTACCTGCGCAAGAGATCTCAGTGGAGCACTCTGCTGATGCGGTATAATCCATTAAAGCACAGAAGGAAGGAGGAGGAATAGTTCTGTTAACAATACAGACCCCTTGACAGGGAAGGTGCATGGTGACCTGCATACAAGTCAGAAGTTAAAGTGAGAGTGGAGATTGAAAGGTAGCCGGGATTGCTGAAAAATGTGTTGCTTTTTAAAGTTCTGCACACGAATTTGAACTGTTGGATTTTCAGTTGGACTCTTTTGACTTCACTGAACACACTGCATTTTACAGAGGGCACTTTGTTCTTGGATGAACATTTATTATGTATATTGGTGTGTTCTATTTATGGAATGTACATTGAAGTATAGCACAGTGGCTAAATGGTTAGCACTTCCGCCTGGCAGTACTAGGGTCGTTGGTTTGAATCCCAACCACGGCACCACCTGCCTGGAGTTTGCATGTTCTCCCTGTGCCTGCGTGGGTTTCCTCTGGGCACTCCAGTTTCCTCCCACACTCCAAAGACATGCTGGTAGGTTAACTGGCTCCGGTCTAAAAATTGGCCCTAGTATGTGTATGTATGAATGTGAGTTAGGGACCTTAGATTGTACACCCCTTGAGGGTTAGGGACTGATATGAATGTACAATATATATGTAAAGTGCTGCATAAATTGATGGCGCTATATAAGTACCTGAAATAAATAAGTATATCAGTGGATGTAATTCAGGATTTGCACATTTGATTAATTTTGTAAATCACTGAGGTGGTGGGAATCATTTGCATATTTTATTAGGCTTTTGAATATTCAGTCATAAAATAGTCACATTATTAGGAGGATTTCTATGTACAAATATAGATTAATGTAGCGCAGCACTTCAGGTTAATGTTTATTTCCAGGTTGATTTGTGGGGTCACTTATGGTGCAACATTAACACACACACAGGTTCATTTAATTTGGTGTTTATACACAGCGGGTAAAATAAGTATTGAACACGTCATCATTTTTCTCAGTAAATATATTTCTAAAGGTGCTATTGACATGAAATTTTTACCACGTCGGTAACAACCCATGCAATCCACAGCCCAGGGTTGTGGGAAAGAGGCCCTTGTCCTCATCAAAATGGGGACAAGGTGCTTTGGGGGGGAGCCCCCAATGTTAAGGGAATGTAGCCTGGTATGGTTTACGGGAGGGGGAGGTTGGGTTGTTTTTTTCATTCCCCCCTTTCCGGACCTGCCAGGCTGCATGCTCAGATGAGGGTCTGGTACGTATTTTTTTTTTTTATTTTGGTGTGGCCTGGTAAGGCTTGGGGGGGGCACGCTGTTTTTTTCCCTGATTTTTTTTAAGTGCCAGCAATAGGTTTATAGTCAACTGTCAACGGGCGTTACTCAGCGGTTGCTAAGGACGCCATCATGTTGTTTACTGGTTGTTAAGAACACCAGCGGGCACCCACTCCTTACCAACCAGCCATAGTGAGACAAAGCACAAAACAAAATGCAAAAATACATAGAAAAAAAAAAAAAAAAAAAAAAAAAAAAAAACGCAAATGTACCTGGAAACCGCATCAGCTGCAATATGCATAGATGTGAACCTAGGCATGAATGAAAATCTGGCTGCATTTTACCATGCTTATGTCTAGTTCACACTGTTTTCACAAAGTCTATTGAGCAATGCTCACTTTTAATAGGCAACACCCCTACCCCTTTTTTCATTTTTTCATGGACTACAAAGCAACTGCCAGAACAATCCTACCACTGCTAGGCATCCTCATTTAGCTAGACTCCCCAAAATGTGAGTGGTTGCAAGCCATTCATGTATGTACGTAAACTCAATGAAATTCTCTATTTCCTGCATACACTGCAGACATATGCCATTTAAAGTGATATTAAAGGTTCATTTTTCTTTCTTTTAAATCACAAATATGTCATACTCACCTGATCTGTGCATTGGTTTTGCACACAGCAGCCCCGATCATCTTCTTCTCGTGTCCCCCGCCAGCCCTACTGTCTCCTCCCTCCCCCTTGACCAGTACCCCCAGTAGCAAGCCGCTTTCTCCTGAGCCCCACTATATCCTCATTGGCTCACTGGCTGTGATTGACAGCAGTGGGAGCTAATGACTCCTGCTGCTGTGTCTTAGCCAATGAGAAGAGAGAGACCCAGGACAGCTAAGGCTGGATCAAAAGGGGGCACAGGTGAATACTGGGGGGCTGTGCACAGAGCAGCACACAAAAAGGTTTTTTTACCTTCATGCATAGAATGCATGAAGGTAAAAGGCTATCAGCTTTTACAACCACTTTAATGTTCTAGGGATTTCCTGACAGCAGGAGAAGCAGAGAGGGGACAGAAAGGGAAGTGATGGGACAAGGGTGAGGACAGAACATGTTGATGGGAGTCATGAACCTAGGAAGAGAATATTACTGACATAATGACAAGGTCCCCCACCATCCAGGCAGGCAAAGGACTACAACAGGTGTGAATGGAAATACTGGTCACTAACACTGAAATGCGTCACAAGATGTTGTTCCCAGGACATTAGATTACGGAAATAAGTTTGTATTCCTTATATACATTTCAATATGAATTTTCAGCTGTAAATAGAATGTACTTGTACATTAAAAAAAAATCAATGTACTGCCATGTGTTTTGAAAGAAATTTAGGTTTATTAAATATCATCTCTGCTGGAAGCATAATACAACTGGTGTTCCTTTTTAAAGCTTAGATGATGGAGGAGGAACCCACTCCTCTATCTTCTTCCGAGTGGTTGAGTATGGTACATACTGTCCTGGGGTGGCACTCAGGTTGAACTGGTGAGTCTTCCATATATATTTATAATCAGCAGGTGGGTGAGTGGTAGGAGGATCTTCTGTCATGGAATGCAGCCAGCGATGCCTGGATAAAGATAAGATATAATTTCACCTATTAATGCCATAGAAATATGTTTACTGCCTAAAATCTTCATGGAAGAAATTCCAGAAATATGTCATGACATCTTTTGATCTGTAGAAATGCAGTGATTTCAAATTGTGTTAGACTGGCAGACCTGTTTAAGGTAAACATCACTAGAAAGAATAAAATGAAAAAAAAAAGATTCATTAAAAATGTATGAAGGAAAAATCTGCATGTGTTGTGTTCAACTACACAAGAGCTAACTGCTCATTTTAAGGCAGTACAAGTATCTTAAGAGTTGTCTGCCCTGAAGATACAAATCTCTATATTGGTGTTAAATACACACACACACACACATATATATATATACATACACACACACACACACATATATATATTATATATACATACACACACATGCATACATACAGGGATGTTGAATTCCTATCTCCGGACGCCAAGGACATCCAACGGTCAGCTCTCTTTTCAAAGTGGCTCCAGGGAAGGGGCAAAAGTGGGGGGGGGGGGGGGACATTCCCTCCCCACTGCCTTCTGAAGGCTGTCCAGATGTCTGGTGGAACTCCCCTCCCGCTTGAAGGGGGCACATTTCGGTCAAGTCTGAACTCCCCCCCGCTGCCCATTAGCAGAGAGAGAGGTGTTCTCCATGTCCAGTAGCTCTTCATAAGAATGCAATCAGGGTCAGGTGACCATACGGAGAACACCTGGCTCTGACTGGCGGCGTTCTCCGCCAATGGAAAGTGGGGAGGCGGGACTGGACCAGCAGGAATATTTTTTTTCTTCTTCTTATAAATATATTCATTTATTTAGATATTCTATTTATTTCCTTATTTATTGTTTAATATCTCCCTCTCTATTATTTTATTTAGTATTTTTAATTATTCTTGTTTATTATTATCTGCGGATTATTTTATGTATTAATTTTTATTTTTTTTTTTATATTTGCATTTATTTTGATATTTTCATTATTTTCTATTTGTATTTATTTTTGTTGTTGTAATCAGATTGTTATCTGCACTTATATAATTTTTTATTATTTTATTTACATTTTTATTTGTATTTTATTTAAATTTTGTATATATATTTATTTATTATTTTTGTTGGTAATATTATAATCTGAACATACCAATAATCAGATTATATTTTTTTCATTTTATTTATTTTAATTTACATTTATTTATTTTTGTGGTTATAATTCAGTTATTTGCTATCTGCAGCCATCCACAGGGAGGGGAGACAGAGCCTGTCCAATCCAGGACACCTGAACAACCAGCTGATGCTTCTGCTGGCTCATAGAGGCAGACGAAGACCAGCACCACTCTGTCCATCTCTATGATATAGGAAACAGGAAAGTAATGAGAATACATCACTTTCCCAGAAGGAAACGGTGCCATTTTAAAAAATGATCACACCGATCTTGGTGTGATCAAGTGCTTTTCAGGGCAGAGAAGGGATCTGACCCCAGATCTCTCCATAAAGAGTACCCATCTGTGCCTAATGCTGTAACAAGGGATGTTTACATTCCTTGTGACAGCAATAAAATCAATTATAAAAAATTAAAGTGACAGTGTCACAATAAATAATTTATTACAAACAAAAGTTCAAGCACCACTGTCCCCTCTAAACCCCCCCCCCCCCCCCCCCCGAATGTTCACATACGTCAGTCCCACAGGCATGCAAACAGCGATTGTCACACACATGTGAGGTATCACAGTGCACATCAGATCACGGGCAGTAATTCTAGCACCAGACCTCCTGTGTAAATCTAAAGTGATAACCTGTAGAAGCTTTTAAAGCGTCACCTATTGATAGTAAAATGTACACTGTTTGTTGCCATTGCATGGGTGTGTGCAATTTTAAAGCATGACATGTTTGGTATCTATTTACTTGAAGTAACATCTTTTATACTTTACCAAAAAATTGGGCTATGTGCTGTGTTTTTTTGCATTACAATTCCAAAAAGTGTATTCAAATAAAAAAAATTGTGTTTGAAAACCACTGTGGAAATACCATGCGACATAAAAAAAATTGCAAAACCCACCAATTCATTCTTTAGGGCCTCTGTAAAATAAAAAAACATTAAAATTTAAGTCATCATACGTCCCATTTCATTTTTAAAAGGCCTAGACATTCCTAAAAGCACATCTGACAAAAAAAAAAATCATCAACTGTATTTTCCATTCTGGGAATTTTTTTTGTTTAATCAGGACAAGAAGATTGTCATGAGGGACAAGTAGACTGGGACCTTGATTAAGTAACTTTTAAAAAAAATGTCCACACCCTAGATAGATAGATAGATAATTGGAACACCTGAATTCAATGATTTGGCAAAACAGTGTGTGTAGATTTATATATATATATATATATATATATATATATATATATATACACACATACATACACATATATATACACACACACACACACACACACACACACATGTGTGTGTGTGTGTGTATATATATATATATATTATAATTTTTTCATCTATATTTAACAAAATGAAGACTTACTAAATTATTTATTTATTTCAGGTACTTATATAGTGCTGTCAATTTACGCAGTGCTTTACATATATATTGTACATTCACATCAGTCCCTAACCCTCAAGGGGCGTACAATCGAAGGTCCCTAACTTACATTCATACATACACATACTAGGGCCAATTTAGACAGGAACCAATTAACCTACCAGCATGTCTTTGGAGTGTGGGAGGAAACCGGAGTACCCGGAGGAAACCCACATAGACACAGGGAGAACATGCAAACTCCAGGCAGTGCCATGGTTGGGAATCAAAAATGACCCTAGTAGTGCCAGGCAGAAGTGCTAACCATTTAGCCACTGTGCAGCCCAGATACTAAATGATGAAGGATTCCCTGAGCAGATTGATAACTAATGATATAGCACAAGTGGTCTATCTTCACATATACTGCTCTGCACAGCCATCCAAAGCAGTGTGCCCGAGCTGACAGGGAGAACTGTTATTAAACAAAACGGAAATCCTCGGTAATCACCAAGCGCCAGCAAGTAATCACTGTCTGAGACCCAGTGACTGACAGCCATGAATGGAGGCGCGTGTAGGGCGCGTGTAGGGCTCGTGCCCCCCTACCCAGGAATGCAAATCACGTATATATACACGTGATTTTGCGCACCCGTGCCGCAGTATTTCTGCTATAGGGCAGTCAGGAAGCAGATAACAACAAGTATTTGGGCAAAATATAACCTTAGGAGCAGCAATGTGTAAGAACTTCTGATAATACTACAAGAGACCAGCCCCTGATCAAAAGTTCCAGAAAATCCAGGAAGAGAAAAGATGAAATGTAGAGGAAAAAGATCAAGAGGATGGCGAAGGGATAGGGAACAAGAGAAATAAAAAGGAGGGTAAAGGGGAAGAGGGAGTGGGGAAAGACATGGGGAAACCTGTGTCGCGGTACCAAGATTTTGCTGTCAAGTATCGAAGGCTACAGTCTGTATCCCTAGCAAGTAACAGTGGTAATATCGGGCTAGACCTTCAGAAGAAAAAGTCAAGAATCTTCCCAGAGGAGTCTCCTACAAGATGAGGATCCCCCAAAGTGTGTCCAGCACTGGCAAACAGACATTATCTTGTGTTGTGTACACCAGCTCCTCCATGTCCAATATTTCATTTTTGTTTTGATGAAAAAATATTTTTCAGTCATGAACATAATTAATAAAGAAAATAAATATATATTAAATAATATATACCCCCATCTCAAAAAGTGCCCTGACCAACATCAGACAGACATACAGGCATGTATTCTCTTGTACAACATATAACCACAAAAAGGTTAGGAATCCATTCACACAGCTAAGCAAATTGGACCCCAGAAATCTCCCATGATTTCCCCATTCAGTTATTAGATTCTCTTGTAGAGTCAATAATTTAATAAAAGCTTCACAGGGTAGAAGCAAATGTAACCCTTGACAGGGTTTTTATAGGAAGCGAAGACCAGATGCATTATTAGTGAACAGAAAAGACTACGAAAGATTAAGTTGTTCTTTTTATTACTTTCATCATCCTGGTGTCATGGGAGCACAGACATCAGGAAAATCATAATTGTGCTTCTGAACCTTCCTCGCTCTAGCAGAAAAACGTGGTTTTATTCTTGCCTTTGTCTCCATTGTGGGGATGTCCACTTACTCCCTGATCTGTCAGACACCTGTCACAAGGGATGTCAAGAAGAGGGGACGTTTCCCTGTTTTGTGAGATAGACAGGAAGTGATGGAGAAATTTCCCAAACAGGTAAAACCGCTACAGACATTTCCACACACTCCATCTAAAATTAAACAAAACAGCAGAAACTCCAACTTCTGACTTCATGTATAATCAGTTTGTTCTATTTAAAGCATCAGGATAAAAACCACAACATAATAATTGTCTCATTATTTATGTTCTTTGCCACAAACCCTCTTCTGATCATCCTCTAACACTATGAGGGACTAGTCCACATCTAAGCTGAAGAGTAGACAGGTCTGTCATTTTGAAAACATTCAGCAGCTTTTTATGAATTAGGTGCTAGAACTGCAAAGGCAAAAAATGTCTTTACTGACGTGTTCTGCGCTTTCACGAATCAAAGGGTATTAATATTTGATAGCAGCACGTGAAAACAATAGCCGATATGACACTTGGCGGGAGATTTACTAAAACTGGCACACTCAGAATCTGGTACAACTGTGCATCGTAGCTTCTAACTCCGACTTGTTCAATTAACCACTTGTTCGCCGCCATATAGTAGAATTACTGCTACAGGGCTGTGCAAAATCACGTATACATACATGTGATTTGCATTTCCGGGTAGGGGGTGTGCGCCACCCTACCCACGCCGTCATTGGCGCTAGGCATGTCAATCACCGGGTCCCAGTGATCACTGTGTAGAACTGACAGGGAAGAGACCTGTGTGTAAACAACACAGGCCTCTCTCCTGCCAGCAAGGACATGCTACATATAGAGAAATACACAGCAGCATGTCTCCCTAGTAAAACACACACAGCACACGGTTTATTATTTATTTCAGGTACACAGCACTTTACATATATATTGTACATTCACATCAGTTCCTGCCCTCAAGAAGTGTACAATCTAAAGTCCCTAACTCACACATACAAGGGCCAATTTAGACAGGAGCCAATTAACCTACCAGCATGTCTTTGGAGTGTGGAAGGAAACCGGAGTACCTGGAGGAAACCCACGCAGGCACAGGGAGAACATGCAAACTCCAGGCAGATGGTGCCGTGGTTGGGATTCGAACCGATGACCCTAGTACTGCCAGGCAGAAGAGCTAACCACTCAGCCACTGTGGTGCCCAGTTAACCCTTTGATCGCCCCAGATGTAAACTCCTTCCTGCCCAATGTCATTAGTACAGTGTCAGTGCTTTTTATTAGCACTGATCACTGTATTAGTGTCACTGGGGATGTCAGTGGCCATTAGTTCCCACCCAGTGTCAAGCAGAAGAGAAAGGAGGGTGCCAGGTCAGTGTACGTTAAAACATGAAAACTTTATTTACAGAAGACTTACATCTAAGACTCCTTCAATCGGCATGCAGGACAGGATGGTAGACAGTGGATCGGGACCACAGTTCACTCAGATGGTTGGACCAATGTAGGCTGCATAACATGAAGGGGAGCTGCTCATGGACTCAGCGGAATTCGTTCAAAAGTTCCCACCAAGCGGTGGGGGGGATGTGGCAGGTGCCGTGGAATGGCGGGCGGGTGGGCTGCAACAAGTTTCAGAAGCTCCGCCTCCTCTGTTAAGCACCCAGTCTCAAAATGCCTGTCGCAGTCCCACTATAAGTCACTGATTGCCATTACTAGTATATTAAAAAAAATAAATAAATAAATCCCAGTATCTATACTGCCATTTGTAGACGCTATAGCTTTCATGTAAACCAATTAATTTACACATATTGAGATTTTTTTTTTTTTTTCAGCAAAGACATGTAGCAGAGTACATTTTGGCTTAAATTTATGAAGAAATTTGGTTCTTTGTTTATAGCACAAAAAATAAAAACTGCACAGGTGACCAAATACCACCTACCAAATACCTCTATGTGTGGGGAAAAAAAAAAAAAAAAGTTTGTTTATGTACAACGTTGCATGATCCCGCAACTGTCTGTTAAAGTAATGCAGCACCGTATCACAAAAAAAAATGCCTGGTCAGGAAGGGGGGATAAATCCTCTGGAGGCAAGTGGTTAAGCTTTGATTAAAAAAAAAAAAAACTAAAAGTTAGAAGCTAACTGGTTTCTATGCAGAGCTGCCCCAAGATCTTGCGCCATTAGTAAGTAAACACCTTAGTGTGCAGTGTACCCAGATCAGCCATAAGTTATGACCACCCACCTAATATTTATTTTCCCTCCAAAACAACCCTGACCCATCAAGGCATGGATTCCACTAGACCTCTACAAGGTATGCTATGGTATCTGGCACAAAGCAGTCAGTAGTAGAACTTTTAAGTCTG